AGATGAAGCCTTCTCTTTCTGAGGAATGGTTTGCGATGTTTTCGCCATTTTTGAATACAAAAGTAAGGAANCACACTGTGAAGATGAAGCCTTCTCTTTCTGAGGAATGGTTTGCGATGTTTTCGCCATTTTTTTTGAATTTGAAAGTGAGGAGTAGAAGAAAGTGATAGAGATGTGGTGGAATTGAAGAGGGGCTCTTTCAGAAAGAAATCACAGCTTTTCTGGTAAGTTGGAGAGTATAAAGAAGAATTTGGGAAATTTTAGAAGATAGAAGGTGTAAAAACGGTAAAAGATAAAGGTAAGGGTTATTTATAGGTTCAAACGGTGGCGGTTCAGTATCAGCAGTGGCCGACCACTGCCTGACATGCATTAAATGCCTTGAAAGACTAAACCGACGGGACAGCTATCATATGCGTCATGGTCGAACCCGATGGAAACGACAAGATATAATCCGATCGAGCTGTTGAAAATCATATCGTTTCTTGCAATATTCTTTCTGAGAAACGAGGGGACTATCTGTATACGGTCGAAATAGATTTCAACCTTGGCATGTCCGGTATGATTCGAAGGGTGATGTATTGAAGTAAGATCCCGAAGGGGGCACGAACTAACCTCGAACCCGGGGAGGCCGGTCCGTGTCGAGATCGATATCATAATCGAACTTGAACAAGAATCGAACCATGACGCGGGTAGATCTATCGTGCTGATAATCCAAAAACCAACCTACATTGATCTGGAATCAATTCGAGGGCTCGAACTAGGGTCGGGCTCGAACCAAGATCACAAGTTCGAGCCAAAATCAAGCTCAAACCAAAATCGAGGATTCTAAGCAAGGTCGAGCTCGCGGACAAAAGCCGTTGCAATCCCACTAGAGGGAATCTTGGCAGAAATTATGGAAAAGCTGATTTATCATGGGTCTCCCACTGAATGTTTATTTTATTATGCTTGGAGCCGAATCCCTCCACTATAAAAGGGCTTTGTTATCGTTTCTGTAGGGCATCATTCATTTTTTCTCTGAGATTTACATTATAATAAAAGTATTATTTCCTCTGCAAGAAAGAGTGGCTATTCCAGTTTCTTAGATTGATTCTATTTGTTCAACCCCAAGGTTCACTGTTCTTGATTTCCTTGTCTAGATACATTCTCTCCAATATATATTCACATTTTATTTATCCTTACATTTTGTATTAAGTTGTACCACATATCTTCGGAACTGCGTATAAATTCAACTCTACCCAATTTTCGGGTAAACAGTAACGAAGTCGAATAAGTATTTGTCATTCCAAGTTCCAACCCCTCAAAAGGCTCTTGCCTGTTTTATCTTTTCTTCTTCCAATCTTCTGCATGATAAATAGTTTAATATGAACATTATGCCACTCTACTTTTCGTGGATTTAAATGTCATAATTTAATAGTAAAATTATTTATATGAATATTGTTAGATTCATTATTTGATTACTATGTTTTATGATATTTATTATTGCTCCAGTTATCAATTTAATAAACTATGAAATTTGTTGAACCCAATTATAAAATTTACTAGACTATTGTTCGATCTCTCCCGTTGAGTATTGAGATTTTGATGAATAACAAAGTTTTTTCAGAGGAAATGCTCTAAGAATAAGGTCCTCAAGGTTGATAATTGCACGTTCCTACAAGACAGTGACTTTATCACAAAGTTACTCAAGTTCGAGTTCATTGGAAGAGGACTGCTAAATGTGATAAGGGTCGTTGTCCAAGAAGATATACTTGTACAAGTGAGAGACAAGAGTCCCAGGAATTGTGGAGTTCTTGGGGCAGTAGGAGTCCTATCAAATTAGAAGCTGATTACGCATAGGACTCCTAAAAGATCTCGGAGTCCAGGGAGTTTAAATACTATCTTTTTGGACTGCTGAGATCATCCTTCTGCACATCAACTGAAGAACTGCATTTTTTATACTCAAGTCGAGTACAAGTGTTTGTTTCTTCTTGAGTCAGTCTAGTAAATGTGTTTTAGGAAATCGAGTTATAATCAAAGTATCATATACAATCAGTGAGTTGGAGTGAGTGTTTGATTTTGCAAGTTAGAGTAACTTGTAAGTCAAATAGTTAAAGTAGGAGAACTAGAGAGTATTGAGTTACAAATTTGTAATCGATACATTTGGCTCATTGTTCTAGCGTAGTTGAAGCTAAAATCCTATGTGGTAGGTTGTGGTTTTTGTACCTTTTGAGCCGGATGATTTTTCACGTAAATATTGCTGTGTTTACTTTACTTCTTATTTTTGCTTACGCTAGAGGAGTAAGGTAATGAACTAAGTTCTTTAGTAATCCATAAAGGCACTCAAACTAACAATTGGTATCAGAGCAGGTTCTCTCACACATGGTTAACACCTAGAGAGATCTTGAAAGCAAAATGAGTGCTCCACCTGGCATTAACGAAGGACAGTCAACTACTAGACCACTCATGTTCAATGAAAAATACTACAGTTGGTGGAAAGAAAGAATGGAAGATTTCCTGACGGCTGAAGACTATGAACTATGGATCATAGTGAATCAAGGTCCACTAACTCCTACTAAACAAACGGGCAAAATGAAACTGTTCCCAAGGACCCCTCTGAATTTGTAGCATCATATTTCAGAATGATGGAGAAGAATGCAAAGGCCAAGAAAATCCTTATCTGTGGACTTGGTCCTGATAAGTACAACATGATATCAGTGTGCTCTAGAGCAAAGGAGATCTGGGATGCACCGCAAATAGCTCATGAAGGAACAAACCAAGTGAAGAGATCAAGGATCGAATTGCTTATAAAGAACTATGAGCTCTTCTCCATGAAGGAGTCTAAACCCATCCAGGATTGATGACTAGGTTTACTATAATAACAAATGAACTGAAATCACTTGGAAAGGTGTTTACATCAGAAGAGTTGGTTAGCAAAGTTCTAAGGATTCTTCAAGCTTCATGGGAATCAAAAGTCACAACTATTCAGGAAGCAAATGAGCTGGATCAGATCTCACTTGATGAGTTGGTTGGAAACTTAAACACTCATGAGATGAGAAAGATAAAAATGCGCAAAGAAGAACCAAGGAGGGATAAGGCCTTGGTTATTAAGGCTTCTGAAGAAGATAAATTTGACAGTGATGATCTTGACCTAGCATTGTTTGCTAAGTTCAAGAAGTTCATGAGGAATTCCAAAAATGTGTCTAAGAGAGAGAACAATGGTAAGCCTTAGTAGATCGACAAAGCTTCATATGATGGGTGCTACAAGTGTAACAAGCTAGACCACATGGTCAAAGACTACCCAATGTGGGAAATTGAATGGAAGAAAGAAAGACATGAAAAAGAAAAACGGGAAAAACTGAGAGAGAAAGGTCCAAACAAAGGGAAAATCCTAGGCAAAGGATTCACTGAAGCAATGACACAGGCTTTTCTAGCAGCATATAAGGACAGTGGAAGTGATAAAGAGGAGGAAAAAGAGGATGAGGACACAAGTCTCTATGCTGTAATTGATGTACATCAGAAAATGGAGACTGACCCTCCAGTGCAGCTTGGACTGCACATTGGAAGACCTTCTCTATTTGATGTGCATCACTATGACAAATAGAAGATGAGTATGGAAACGTCCCTTCAGGCCACTGACTTTGATCTATAGCTAATTGTCAGTCATGGACCAATCATCCCCACCAAAGTGGATAGTGAAGGAAACAAATGTAACAAGAGAAAAGAGGATTATGATGATGAAGATCGCCAGGTAATCCAGAAAAATGCTAAACCAAAGGACCTGCTCTACATATGTTTGCCTAGAAATGTTCTCTACAAGGTGTCCTCTTGCATCTCTGCTCATGATATATGGAGGACATTGGAGGCTAATTTTGGATATGAAAACCTTGAAGTTGCACTGATGGCAATTAAAGAAAGCCAAATAGAAGAAGAAGTGATAGGGATGATGGCCATGAGTGATTCAAAGACTAAAGATGAAACAAATCAGATAAGTATCTCTAACGTGAAAGAAATTATTCATGTTATGTCTAAAAAATAGCTAATGGCCATAATTGTGACCTGGACAAGATGAGTGATGAAATTGATCAGTTAATAAACAACCTTTCATGTGTTAAACTTGACCTAAAAGAACTTGAATCTTACAAAACTGATCTTGAAGGACACGCCAAAAACCTTAAGAACCAAGTTCTTGAGCTCACTTTTAAAAATGAGAAGTTACCTGATACACATGGTAAAGGAAAAATGAGAGATCAACAAGATACGCTTGAAAAGGAACTAAAAGAGGTTAATGATAATCTTTGTGATGCTGAATGTAGGAATAAAGTATTGTAAGAAAATCTTGAAAAAGCAAAATACGAACTATCTAGGCTAAGCAAGTGGCATAAATCCTCAGATGTACTAAATTGGCTAAATGAAAACTGCAGCACTAACAAATCTGGACTTGAATATAGAAAACCATTCCCATATTTGATCTAAAGTATGTAGGAATTTCTGATAATAATATATGCGCTCATTGTGGGAAGGTAGGATACTTTAGAGATACTTGACCTGCCTTAATTCATGCTCAGTTTAAGAACACTTTTGGTCTTGCTAAAAATGTAAAGAAGGAAGAAGAACCAAAGTTAAGTCCCCTATCAAAACTAAGTGGATTAAGGTCAACAAGAAAATAACCGTTAATCTTCTTCCCTTATGGGCAAGAAGAGATATGATTCATCCCTTTTCAAATAAAAAGGGACCCAAGCTTGTCTAGGTTCTCAAGACTAACTTGTGATTTCTAGTGCAGGCTAAAGTGAGAGGAAATAATCAAGACTGGTATCTAGATAGTGGATGCTCAAGACATATGACTGGAGAAAAGAAACACTTTCTCTCACTGACAACCTTCTAAAAAGGGAGTGTGTCATTTGGAAATGAGAAAAAGGGGCCAGATAACATGTATTGGTAAGGTCGGTAAGTCACTCTCTCATGCTATAGAAGATGTGTATTATGTAGTAGGTCTTAAACATAATCTTCTTAGCATTTCTCAAATGTGTGATAAAGGAAATGAGATAAAGTTCAATTCCAAAAGTTTCACTGTCACTAAGCTTGATACTGATGAAATTGTGTTAAAAGGTAAGAGACACAACAATGTCTACAAGATATCTATTATGTCTCTTCCTCAGAGTGAGCACAGATAGTGGAAGATGACCCACTGTTATGGCATAGAAGACTGGGACATGCTAGTCTATCATAACTCAACAAGTTGGCAACAAAGGACCTGGTCCTTGGACTACCAAAATATGAGTTCACCTCAGACAAAGTATGTGATGCTTGTGTCAGAGGAAAACATGTAAGGTCACCTTTTAAATCTAAAAAGGTTGTCAGCACCTCTAAACCCCTAGAACTCCTTCACATGGACCTATGTGGACCAGTAAGAGTGAGGAGCAGGGGAGGCAAGAGGTATGTATTTGTCGTTGTAGATGACTTTTCTAGGTACACATGGACCCTGTTTTTGGCATCCAAGGATGAAACTTTTGATGTTTTCTGTCTGTTTGTCAGAATGATCCAGTAGAAACTAGGCTGTGATGTTTTAAGTATAAGAACAGACCATGGAACTAAGTTTGAAAATTCTAAATTTCTTGAGTTCTGTAGCACACATGGAATCGATCATAACTTCTCTGTACCTAGAACTCCACAACAAAATAGTATTGTAGAAAGAAAGAATAGATCCCTAGAATACATGGGCATGGCCATGCTAATTGTAGTGGACTGCCTAAGAGCTTTTGGGCTGAGGCAGTCAATACTGCTTGTTACTTGCTAAACAGATGCATGGTCATACCCATTCTTGAGAAAACTCCCTATTTCGAGGGAGAAAGCCTAACATCACTCACCTAAGAGATTTTGGGTGCAAGTGCTTTGTGCACATTAATGGCAAAGAAGCTCTAGGAAAGTTTGGTGACAGAAATGATGAGGAAATTTTCTTGGGATACTCACCACATAGTAAAGCTTACAAAGTATTTAATAAAAGAACTATGTGCATAGAAGAAAATAGTCATGTTATTTTTGACGAATCTAACAACATGGTCGAGAAAGGTCTGCAGGATGAAGACTATACATAGGACTCACTGATGAAGGAACTTCTAAAGAACCTGAACACCAATCTGAAGATGGATCCGGAGATCCTAAGGAAGTTGAAAGTGATAAGGAAGAACAAGAAGAAGAGAGAACTACTCTGACTGCTACCCAGACAGATGAAGCTGTACCTGGCACTGGTCCTTTAGGTCACTACTTGGGTAAATCATCTATGGGATGTAGATTAGACCATGGGCTCACACCCCCTTGAGAACATCATCTCTGATCCTAATACTGGAGTGCAAACCAGGTCATCTCTGAGAAACCTATGTGCACTTACAACATTCCTCTCACAGGTTGAACTTAAGAATATAAAAGAAGCTCTAAAGGATCTAGATTGGATTATAGCCATGCAAGAGGAGCTGAATCAGTTTGAAAGAAGCAAGGTTTGGCATTTGGTGCAAAGACCCAAGAACAGAACTGTCATAGGTACCAGATGGGTGTTCAGAAACAAGCTGGATGAGCAAGGAGCCCGTTTGGATTGGCTTATTATAAATTCTTTTAAGCCATTTTATAATATTTGGATAGATGGATGATTGGGTAACTATTATATCTCACAGCAAGCAGGCATGATACTGTATTTAGTGTAGGATTGTGTGCAAGTTTCAAGCAAATTACAAAGAATCTCATCTGAAGGCTGTCAAAAGTATACTCAGATATCTTAAAGGGACTCCTGATCTGTGTCTGTGGTATCCTAGAGGGTACAACTTTGATCTAGTTGGTTATGCTAATGCTGACTATGCAGGTTTTCATGTTGACAGGAAAAGCACTTCAGGAACAACACACTTTCTTGGTTCTTGCCTAGTGTCTTGGGGAACAAAGAAGCAGAACTCAGTGGCTTTATCTACAGCTGAAGCAGAATATGTGACAGCAACATCTTGATGTGCTCAGTTGCTGTGGATAAGACAAAAGCTAAGGGGCTATGGTATTTTTGTTGATTGTGTTCCTATCTTATGTGATAGCACTAGTGCCATAAACATTGCTAAAAATCCCTGCCAACACAATAGAACCAAGCACATTGACATTAGACATCACTTTCTCAAAGATAATATTGAAAAGGGAAATATCTCAATTAACTTTTGTAAAATTGAAGACCAAATTATTGACATTTTTACTAAAGCTCTGAGCAGGGATCACTTTGAAAGAAACAAAATGGAACTTGGTCTAATTAATACTTCTAATTGGGTTGAACCTTAATAATTAACTAGATAATTTATAATTAGATGTTGATGGTTGAGTATAACGTGTTTGATTCAGTCTCGTGCTTGTCTTGAGCACACACACTCGCCCAAAAAAATCTAGCTGATAACTATGTCTTATTATACTAATCTATAGTGCTAAAACTTTATTGCAGAAATGAGTAAGGAGTTGGTTCTTTGACTCAGGTACGTGTCATCTTGTATTAATTCATTGGGGCTTAATATCTGAAATTACTGCTATACTCAGACTATCTAATCCTGTTAGCATCACTCCTATTTGTCATCTAGTCAAGGATTAAGGGAGAATCCTAGAGCAATTAGAGTCTAATTACTCCTAAAAGTCTAATAGTAAAAAATAACCGTTATTAGAGTCCCGTTAGAACTCAAATTCGGTAATTCTCTTTCTTCCAGTCAAATCTGGACTACCCTTTTTAAAAGCCATTTGTGATCCGTCTCTCAGACCTCACTGTTCCTCTCAAACCCTAAGCAAGAATCAAGAAAAATTTCTCTCATTCTTTCATCAATTTCATTCTCTCATCACCATGCCTAAATTAAGCCAAACTCCCTCTAAAGCAAAATCCTCATCCAAGACTAAAGCCAAACTCAAGAACATGAAGCCCAAACCAAAGATAAGTTCAAAGCCAACCAGTGAACCTACACCTACACCTGTTCCCTCTCCACCTATACCCTCTACTGTACTTGCACCTTTATGCCCTGCTTCTGTTGCACCCACTGTTCCCACCTCTACTGGACCTTCATCCCTAAAACCACCTTCCCATGCACCTGTGTCTACTTCGAAAAACACCTCTAAAACTACCAAGATCAAGGATACGTCAAGAAAATCAGTTAAGAGTGACAATGTGGTGATTCGTGCTGCTACTAAAGAGGACACAATGGTTAAGGAAGCTGTGACTCAGGGGGAATATGTGTCAACTACTACTGATCAGGTAAAATTACCTCCATCAAAGTTAGATGTTCTGGTTTTTGCTATTGAAGTTGCACCCTTAGAAATTGTTCCACCCATAAGTGACAAACCTCGAGTGGAGGAAACCACTTTAGAAACAAATATTGCAACTCAAGAGAAAAGGGTGGATAGCACAAATGTCATGCCTATGGTTGAGGGGGAAGGTGAGAAAGAACCAATGAATAAAGAGGCTTCTGATGGTCTCTCTTTCAGTTGGACTGAGGATGAGGATGATAATGAAGGAGAGGAAGAATGATGAGAGGTAGGTAGTTATGAAGAGCATTGAGCTTAGGATATGGCTCATGATACTGATGAGATAAAGAGTGAGAATGAGGGAGAATCTGGGGAGGAAAAGGAGAGTGATACAGAAGATAAGTTAGGTGAACAAGTGGGAGATTCTGGAGAGGAAGAAAGATAGTTAGGAAGAAGCTGACTCTGAGAGTGAAGGCGAGAAAGAAGAAAAGGGAAGTGAAAGTGAGAGTACTGAACGTGAGAGTGAGGAAGAGAATGCAAGTGGGGAATTCAAAGGCTCTATGGCTATTCAGAACACTGTCATAGCCCCTTCAGGAGAAGCAAGTGGAGAGAAAAGGGCTGAAGAAATTATGCCTTTATTAACTCCTTTTACTGGTGATGAGGAGGTCAGCAGTGATGAGGATGATTTACCCCTGTCTGCAGTAGGGAAGAATAGCAAGAAGGCCCATTTGAAAACAACAAAATCAGTTATCCTTGTTAGAAAAGAAGTGGCCCCTCCTACCTGGACTCCTCACACAAGGAGTAAAATAAAAGTTGTTGATGGGCAGATCATTAAGGAGTCCAGAGGTGCCAAGAAGCCAAGAAAGCAAACTCCTATTGTTGAACCTGTAGTTGAGTTGGATGAAGAGGATGAGTCTGACTCTACTCTGCAAGCAAGTCCACCAACATAAAAGAGGAAGGTTGTTAAATCCACCAGGACAACTACCACATCTAAGAAAGCAGTAAAGGAAAGAAAAAGAAGGTTATGCCTGTTGTGGTTGACAAGCTTAGTGAATTCATAAATAAAAAAGTGTTGAATGGGAAGATTCTTGCTAACACAGATAAGAAAGGTATAGCTCAATTAGTTGAAAAACTTGAACTACGGGAACAAAGACAAATGTTTGTTAAGGCATTCCCTCCTGTTTGTGTGCCTGCTGTGGTGGAGTCCTGTGAAAACTTCCAGTTTGATGGCAAAGTGGTCAAGAGTCTTGTAAGAGGGTTTGAGATGGAGTTTGATATGTTGCTGAATATTCCCTCCTTAGGTTTTGACAATTACTTGAAGAAAAAATGGCCAACCATAGACAATGATGAGGACACATGAATTGTGGCCAAAAGGAAGTTTTCTCAGAAGTTTGAGTTAGATGCTCCCCAGAAGCTATACAAGACTGATATGACTCCTTTTCACAAGCTGTTGCTTCACTTTGTGAACTCCTGCATATTGCAGAGATTTGAGAGGAGGCACGATGCTACCCTGCTTGACATGGTTGTGATGGAACTACTTGATACTGGTAGAGCTATCAATCTCCCTAGCCTGATGATTCATCACATGGCAAGGGCTACAGACGCTTACTTCCAAGCCTAAACATACTATTCCTTATGGCTTCATGTTAACTGAGCTGTTTGAAAAGCTCAATATTACCTTGCCTGAGCTTAAGTTTGGAAATCACAATAATGTTATGGATGCTGTTACCCTCAAGCAGTGTGGCTATGAGGAGATCAAGGCTAGGAGACCAATATGTTCTGCTATTCTACCTGGTAGCAGCATGACAACAGAGGTCTCTAAAAGGTTGGAGTTAGCTCTTGAGGAGAATGCTAAGCTTAGAGAAGACAATGATGAGTTGAGAAAAGAAACCAGATAGCTTAGGGAGGAGCTTAGAAGGGACATAGAGGCTCATTGTCACGACCCAAACCGCAGGGCCTCGACGGGCACCCGTTGCCTTACTCAACCGAGTACCAACGTAACATATCTTTCTTATCATACCATTATGGGTAAATGGGCCAAAAGGGGTGTCATAAGATAACCAGAATAAAATAAAAGGGAATACTCGATATAGGATGACTCAATATGTAATACAAACTTATACATATGACATACGAGACTATAAGACCAAAATGATCACTCGTACACTAAACATAGGCCGACAAGGACATACAATCTTTCATATATATGACATCTATCTACAAGCCTCTAAGAGTACATAAACGTCATAAAGGCCAAGACAGGGCCCTACCATACCAATAAATACATGTCCAAAGCATACTGACCGAATAAGTAACTCCGGAGCAAGTAGAGTGTACCAATAACTTCTGCTGAGCTGATAGCCTACTAGGAGGACTCTCAACCTATCTATCGGGACCTGCAGACATAAAACGCAGCGTCCCCAGGCAAAAGGGATATCTGTACAAATAAAGTACCGAGTATGTAAGGCATGAAAAGCAGTATCTAATAGACATGAAAAAAACATAGAGTAAAAGACTCAACTTGTAAGTCTGAATAGCTCTGGGAATCATGAGACATTTATAATGTCATGCATATATGTATAAATATCATACCATGCATAGGTATATGCGTACATAACATCATCAAGCCTCTGAGGGCATCCCATCATATCATCTCAGCCACTGTGGGTGAAATCATCAACGTATACCAGCTGATCAGGTGGTCGTGCGTATATAACGCCATAACCTTTCCCTATATCCCATATACATATAATATACGCGTATATAACACCATCTGGTCGTGGGTCAATATACATGTATAAATGAATGCAATGCATAATGAAGTAAGTCAGTAAGATCTCTCGGAATGTCATAAGATGAATATGCCTTCGATTAATATCATGACATAAAATTTATCAACTTACGTATTTTCTAAGACCCATGAACAGACGATATAATAATAGGATACATGGGGAATCAAGAACATAGACACCCATAGTACTTCTAAGAATAGAGTCATTTATGACAGTTGTACATTTGCTCGTTTTGTTTGTATCATACCAAAAAGAAAGAAGGGATAGCTTTAACATACCTCAAGTCGTCAATGCAACTCGACAAATTCTTATGACAACTAACGCTCCAACCCTATAACAAAGAAATACATGTACAACTTAGATGTCGCTAGTATATCACGTATCTCAAACGATAACACGATTCTAAAATAAAACGGGCAGTATTTTCACTGATTTTACTGCTCCCTCAAGCCTACTATAGGCGAGACAACTACGCAATACAACCCACAACTATAAAACAACCTACTACAATTCGGGACCTTTAATCCAACAAAACCCCCCAATATACCATAACACACCCAATCAACAAGTTATCAATTAGCTTGAAATTTCAACGACGAGAGACCAGCCCACTACCCTACCATATGTGACATTTCACCACGCCCTTTTATCCTTCCAAACTCCATAAATCCGTAGCACAATAGGCCAACATGAGTGGACTACAAAACAGTCCAGTAAAAGTGAAATAAATCAAACTCACGGCTTCCGATCACCGTCCCGTGAGTTCTAACTATTAGGAAACGAATTTATCAACCTTCCTTGATATTTAAAAGCTTAAATACAGAAAGTAGGTGTTTTATTAACCATGAAGTACCTTCCAAAACTCAAACTACAAAGAAAAAGAGAGGCGGTATAGTGATACTTACGTCGTAGGGATCGTTCTAATGTTATCGCTTCTTGACTTCGTGAAAGGGATGTTGATCTTGCTTGGAATTTCTTGGACCAGTTCTTGGAGAGCTTGAGAGTATTATGGTAAGTATTCTCCATATTTTGAATATATATAAGGGGATAAGACCACTTATACGCGCACCGCCTCAATTCTCCAAGCAGGTGGGTAAGCTGCCTGCTTGGCAGCTTGAGCAGTGCAACTCCGGACACTTGTATCTCTCTACTCCGATATCTTATTGACAAACGGTTTTCAGCGTTAGAAACTAGACACATGGGGATTTAATTCCATATAAAGATATCCCTGTAACTATCAATATATTGGGGGAAAACTGCCTCGCAACCTGGCCTATAAACCTGCCAGTTTCTTCGAATTGCGGCGACATGACTTGGTAACCCTATGTTAAAAATTCATATTTCTCTATCCCGATGTTGTATGAATAAATGGTTTAGACTGTTAGAAACTAAGTTCCAAGACCTTAATTTTGGTATGATCTATGTCCCAAAATTATATCATAAAGCTTACGAATTTAATTTCTCAAAACGGTTCGTTACAAAGCAAATCTTAACTCGATTTTCCATAAATTAAATATGATTTTTTCAAATTTTATATTATATATCCAAACATCATATATAGTCATATTATGACTTTACACTCATTTAAATCATGATTAACATGTCTCATTCATCCTAACTTACTTAACACTTTGATAAACCTTCCTTAGCCTTGTAAAAGGATTTCATCCTTTTTGAGCTTACATTAATAGAATTACGGCGTACTTTCACATACAAAAATATGGGGTGTAACACTCATTCCCAATAGATTGCCACCCTTGTGAAAGCCTTGATCCCCCTCTTCCTCTCACCTTTGACCCTGGTCCTACACCCCATGTCTTAAGCTTGTTTTGTTAACCTAGTGGTGCTTTAGTTATTTTTCTTTTATTCTAGTTCTGAGTAGGTTGCAGGATGTTTTAGTTTAATTTGCTCTAATATTTTGAGTCAAGGCCCTAGGCTTAATTTGGCACTACTAAATAAATACTCTTATGTTATTTTACTGCTTCATACATGGTTATATCATGAGCTTAGTTTATTTGCTTTGATAATTCTTGAGCTTGTGCTGTAGCCTAAATGGCTATGAATGTTGCGTTAACTGTGCTTAGTCTGTTTACTATCTTTTTGTTTTTTTCATGATGATGCCAAAAAGGGGAAGATAGAGTTGGGGGTTGGTGTTAATGTGCATGTTTGTGTGCTTGCTGTATACGTGTTGTACCTGCTCCGGGTGGCTGAGATATTAGGTGATATTAGGTGATTACCTGATTTATGTGCACAAAGTTTGTCATCATAAAAAATAGGGAATTTGTTGAGTATTAAGATTTTGATTATTAACAAAGTTTGTTCAAAGAAAATGCTCTAAGAACCAGGTCCTCAACGTAGCTGCTTAACTGTTCTAAGAACAAGGTCCACAAGGTTGATGATTGCACGTTCCTACAAGGCAGTAACTTTATCAGAAAGTTACTCAAGTCCGAGTTTGTTGGAAGAGGATTGCTAAATGTGATAAGGGTCATTG